CGGGGGCGGGCTTTTTCCCGAATTTCGGAGGCCCGGCCCGGCCCGGCGGGCCTGTCATTCCACAAGTTTTGAAAATTTCAAAAAACACATAAGGGGGGACCCTTATGTGATTTTTTTCCATCAAAAAATTTTTTTCGAGTTTTTTTTTTGATATTTTTTGATCAAACAGGCAAACAATCCAAAAAGCACAAAAAAATATAGAAAATTGTATTGAGAGCTCAAAATTCGGTTCAAAATGACAAAATTTTTGCTACCGGGCCTTCCGGGCCGGGCCCGGGCCTTGAAATTTTCCTCAGGCCCAGGCTTTGGCGGGCCGGCCCGGAATTTTACAAGTATGCTAGAAGGGAAAAAGGAGAACGAAGAAAAAATGTTCAGTAATACTCTTCGAATAAAAGTAAAATCGGAAAAAAAAGAGAGTGGAAAACAAATTCTAGAAAAAGCAAAAATAATTACTGTTTCAAATGTTTGGGAACATCGATTTCATTGGAAAACTGTTGTTTCGAGTAAAATTTTGTGGTCATTAACAGTTCAACACAAATTAAGAAATTTTAACTTTAAATTGCAATTTGTAATCAATTGAAACAGTAAAAATTTCAATGATAACGAAGACTTGATTCCTTGTTTTTCAGGTATTTTCCAATTTTTGAAAGACACTTTTTTTTTCGTTTTTAGTGCAAAACGGTCCAAAAAGAGGAATATTTCAGTTATCGGAAAATGAGAAATGTTCAAAAAATTCTGTAAATGCAAAGTTTTCAATCTAGGTCTGAAACTTGATAGCCGTGCTCTAGGCTTCTGAAAATGGTCAAAATCAACTGAAAAACACGTTTTTGTATGCCTTATGGACTGGTACTGTAGGTCATCAAGCCAGTATCGCAACCGCGTAGCTGGGTTGGTAGCGACGCAGTATTCCTAATGTTTCCAAAGTTCCACACCTTTAACAATTTTTTTGAAACAGTCATTTTTGTGGCTATCAAAAAATCGAAAATAGAAAATTACTGTTTCATATTGAAATGGGAATTTTCGGAATTTTTAGTTTCTCCAGTACATCTATTTTCAAAAATTACTGTTCAAAAATTGAGAAAAGAGTTCCACAGAGGCCTCCTGAAATCTCCCAAACGCATTTTTGTCGTTTTCTCAAAAATCCTGACCTCCTGTTCAAATATTGACCTAAACAGTTGTCAGTTGCCACTTCCGATTATTGGCGGTGAAAATTAGTGAGAGAGAGAGTGAGAGACGCAGAGAAAACAAGAGAGAGCCGACAAAAGAGAGAATTCGACACGTGTAAACCTGAGAATTTAGGGTCGTTGGCTAGTTAGTTGACACAATACATGGGAAGGCAAAAGAATAGAGATCATGAGCAAAAAATGTTCTCGCATTTTTTAAAAGAGAATTTCACGGGATGTATGAGGAGGTAATGAACTGAAAAATGGATTAATGCTGAACTTAGATTTTGGTTTTGTGTCTGAAAATAAATAATAATAAAACTTTTAAGTATAGATGAAAAATTTGAACGAACTTTTGAATTTTTGAAAAAAATTTTGAAAGTTTTTGAAAAGTTCCCATGAAACAGTAAAATTTCAAAATTTCAAAATTTTTATAGGTGTTTCAATAATATAAAAAAACATATAGATTAAAAAAAGTACTTCTTTTTTTTCAATTCGAACAATGTATTATTGACCAGAAAGTAAGTATTTTTCAACAAATTTCTGAAATGATTACTTGCCATATGTGTCGAGGATCAATTCAGGACTCAATATTCTGAGAATTGCCGTTTTTTTTGAAACAGTATTTTTTAAGTCAAAACAAATTCTAGAACAATTGGATTTTTGGATTTACATAAGCCTTCTGTATTTAAACACCATATGCTAAAATCTTTTAACTATCGAAAATGCTAGATTTTTAGTTCAAGTTATTCATTATTTTGTAGATTAAAGGAGGCCAGACACCAAAAAAAAAGTTTTCCTGATATTTTGCATAGAGAACCCCCATGAGGGGTTGAACTCATGACAGGCAGCTCAGGGGTACAGCGCCGCTACCGGCTGGGCTACGGGGGCGCGAAGGCCCCTGACGACCGATGGTCTACATAAGCGCGGAGCGATTTCGTCCCCCGAACTGTCCCCCGAAATTTTTGCTGTCTCGCCTTCTTTAATCGTTTTTTTTCTAGAACAAATCATTTTTATAGGATCTTTTGTTCTAAAATACGATATTCCGAATACGATATTCCACCTTTTTTATCGGGGTTTGTTTTTGAAGATTATGAAATTTCATGACTCCGAATAATAACTGCTTCACTGGGCACTTTAACTTTTCATGGGAAACTAGTTTTTCGATTTCATTTTTGACCAAATTACCATAGTATAACAAAAAGATGATTTTAGAACAGATGGTTTGGCACGAAAGTTCTAAATACTAAAAACTCACTTGGGTCCAAGGCAACGGGTCAAAAAACGCGCCCCAGAAAACTTTTAGGCCAGAAGAAATTTAATAATTTCCAAGTT